GGGAGAGGTGGTGATTGAGGTTTTGAGGTCCTGAGATGCATATAAAAAGGCTTTATAGGTCAAAACCAGCACTTTGGGTCCGAAAACTAATTGGTAGCTACTGCTAGTTGGGTATGGATTGGTGTTGTGTTCTCAGACCGTCTTGCCCAGGTGAGCAATCTGGCTTCCGAATTCTGCACAAGACTTGGCCTAGAATGCAAAGAACTGACAAGGATATGTTCTCTGTTAGTAATAGTAGTTGTTTAGTCCTTTAATCCTGTCCGACTCTTCGTGACCCCATGGACCAGAGCACGCCAGGCACTCCTGTCTTCCACTGCCTCCCGCAGTTTGGTCAAACTCATGCTGGTAGCTTCGAGAACACTGTCCCTCCATCTCGTCCTCTGTCGTCCCCTTCTCCTTGTGTCCTCCATCTTTCCCAACATCAGGGTCTTTTCCAAGGAGTCTTCTGTTCTCATGAGGTGGCCAAAGTATTGGAGCCTCAGCTTCAGGATCTGTCCTTCCAGTGAGCACTCAGGGCTGATTTCCTTCAGAATGGATAGGTTTGATCTTCTTGCAGTCTATGGGACTCTCAAGAGTCTCCTCCAGCACCATAATTCAAAAGCATCAATTCTTCGGCAGTCAGCCTTCTTTATGGTCCAGCTCTCACTTCCATACATCACTACTGGGAAAACCATAGCTTTAACTATACGGGACTTGACATCTTTCCGCAGGGCCTGAAAGACAGAGCTGTTCCACCAGGCCTTTGGCCAGGACACAGCCTGACCCCCTCCTTTGGCAATCCTCACAGAACTCTAGCCCAATGGTTGCCATTAATCTGATTTGAGCTGATTTTATAATGAAATGATTTTAGAATGTTGTATATTTTACTGTTGTTAGCCGCTCTGAGCCCGGCTTCGGCTGGGGAGGGCGGGTTATAAATAAATAATAATAATAATAATAATTATTATTACAGACCTTTGTTGGCAAGGTGATGTCTCTGCTTTTTAAGATGCTGTCTAGGTTTGTCATCGCTTTTCTCCCAAGAAACAGGTAGTAACTGACATTTCTTATCAGGTATATAATACAGACAGATGTGGCAGTACAAAAGCTTGGGTTTAGGGTATTAAGTGTTACTTTTTGTGGCATGCATTTACCCCTTTCTGCTTAGTGTAAGCAAATTGTTCCAATAAGTGTTCACAGTAAAAGCAGAAATATTACTCTATAATCCACATGTTATGCCCTGTTCCTCTGTTTCTTTTTCTTGTTAGGCATATAAGCAAAGCCTCTATTGTTTAGGAGATCAGTTGCTCCCATGGCTGGTTATTAATTTGAAACCTTAATCCACCATCTGACATTAGAATAAATAACCAGCGCAAATAAATCTGGTATCTTAGAAACAGACTTTGGGGAGCTAATGAACTCCAAAGGATGCATGCTCCATTTTTGCCAAATGATCTTAATAAGAAGTCTGGTTTTTTAAGGGGAAACAGGATTGTTGCAGAAGTGTTCCAAATCAACTTTAATTGCACAACCTGAATTTGTGGGTACATGACCGAATCCCACCAGAAAACAGCAGCAGCCTGGAAGGGGGGGGGGGGAAACAGTCGACAAACACAACCCCTCCACTTGCAACGAAGGGTAATTCATACTTCGGAAGAACTTGCCTGTCAAGGTGACAGTTTCCTCTAAACACTTAAAACAAGTTAATGAAACCATGGGTGAGTCAGCTAAACATCACAAACGGAGAAACATCAGACTTCTAAATGCAGAACGCTAAACGTAAACGAAGCGCTCTTGTTTATGAATGTGCAATTTATCTGAATTCTAGACAGCAGTGCAAAATGGAAGGGATGGGTCTGCAAGTCTTTTATGTCAGAGCTATGAGCATCTATTCGCTGCAGATGCTATATTTTAATGTAATTCTGTGTCATATGCTGACTGGGTTTTAAAAGTTCACAGTTCATAATTTCTTTCTCGGATAGATTACCACACAGTCTCATTTTACGCAGCCATCTTTGAAGCTTCCATCCTAATGCATATGACATTTTAAAAGATGCATTATCTTTTATTCGGCTCCCTCTCCAACATATTTTACACCTCTCTCGGGACCACTGTTGCATTTCAGTGAAATTCAGAATGCATCACTTGATAACTGCACAGAGAAGTTAATAAATAGAAAGGGAAAAATCCATAACAAATAAATACAGCTTTGTTTTCAAGCACCCAAGAAGTTTACCATCTGACCTTACTAGGTCTAATGAAGGACTGCTATACAGGCACTACAGTGCTAAAACTACTCTTAAAAAAGACAAGATAGTATGGCAGTGCTTCTCTTTTATTTACTCCTCCCTTGGGGTTACTCTCAACGTAAGAGATAAAATTAGAGGGTGGTGATGGGTGACTGTAGGGTGCGAAAGGGGTTTCATGTGCATAATTTAGGTGGCTGTTACTAACCTTGATTAATGCAAAATGGGCATTCAGGCAAAGCCACAATTCAAAAAATCCAAACCACAAACCCAGCATTGCAAGAAAATATATGTAGTATTCTTTGACCTTGCATACTGAACTGAGCAAAGTGGGTTGTGCCTATGTTAATTGTAATAAATGGATTCAGGGGTACCTAGATATGCATAGCATCAATGATCTGAATTGACACTTAATTATAATTAGTGATTTAGGTTCCAGAGACCAGATCTTGCTGGAAGCTCATATCCCCTAGGCGCTGGCTTCCTAATCTCAGGTACCGTATTTTTCGCACCATAGGACGCACCGGTCCATAGGACGCATCAAGTTTTTTGGGGGGGAAATAAAGGGAAAAAAATTATTTCCCCCCCAGGCGCTTGTGGGGCCGGCAGCGGGGAGAAGCGCTCTTCTCCCCGCAGTCCGCCTTCAGATCAGGTCCGGGGACAGCTGGGAGACGCAGCGCGTCTTCCCGCTGTCCCCGGAGCTTGGGGGCAGGCAGCGGGGAGAAGCGCTCTTCTCCCTGCCGCCCGCCGTGAGATCAAGTCCGGGGACAGCGGGAGACGCGCTGCGTCGCCCCGCTGTCCCCGGAGCTGGGGGCAGGCAGCGGGGAGAAGCGCTCTTCTCCCGCCGCCCGCCTTGATATCAGAGTCCGGGGACAGCGGGGAGACGCGCTGCGTCTTACTGCTGTCCCCGGAGCTTGGGGGCAGGCAGCGGGGAGAAGCGCTCTTCTCCCCGCCGCCCGCCTTGAGATCAGGTCTGGGGACAGCGGGAAGACGTGCTGCGCCTCCCAGCTGTCCCCGGAGCTTGCGGGGCCGGCGGCGGGGTCTCCCCGCCGTCAGCCTCCAAACCACTTCGGGAGACAGCGGGATGGCGGCGTTCCGCCTCCCTCTGTCCCCCGACCTTGTGGGGCTGGCGCTGGGGCTCTCCTGAAGCCTGGAGAGCGAGAGGGTCGGTGCGCCCCTACCCCCCCCGCTCTCCAGGCTTCAGTGAAAGCCTGCATTCGCACCATAGGACGCACACACATTTCCCCTTCATTTTTGGAGGGGAAAAAGTGCGTCCTATAGTGCGAAAAATACGGTATATGGGCACTGTCCATGCTGATTCATTGGTAGGAATCATCTCTTTTTATTTCATTTGTCTCCAGCCAACCTCTGGTGTGCATCAGCATGCTAATCTGACATTGGCTTAGCTCCACAGGAAGGTAGCAGCAATTTGTGTACACTACGCCTTTAAAGCCCAGTGAAAACCCATTCCCCCTCTAGTTTATTCCTCACAGAGTTACAATTTCCAGCAACCTTCGACAAACTACAGTGCCCAGAATTCTTTGAGAGATAGGTTTTGAATGTACGGTACTTTATAGTGTGTGCACAACCTAAATTCACACTGGAACCAGAGGAACTTAAGTTAATAATGGCAAACTTTTCATCTTGATTTCAACAGCATCTACAAGGAAGTTGGTGGCGCTGTGGTCTAAACCACAGAGCCTAGGGCTTGCCGATCAGAAGGTCAGCAGTTCGAATCCCCCTGACGGGGTGAGCTCCCGTTGCTCAGTCCCAGCTCCTGCCAACCTAGCAGTTCGAAAGCACGTCAAAGTGCAAGTAGATAAATAGGTACTGCTCCGGCGGTAAGGTAAACGGCGTTTCCGTGCGCTGCTCTGCTTCACCAGAAGCGGCTTAGTCATGCTGGCCACATGACCCGGAAGCTGTCTGTGGACAAACGCCGGCTCCCTCAGCCTTTAGAGCGGGATGAGCGCTGCAACCCCAGAGTCGTCTGCGACTGGATTTAACATCAGGGGTCCCTTTACCTTTACCTTTTAACATCATCTACGCTGGTCTCAACGAAACCCATTATAATTTGATTTTTAATCTTAGCTTTGCACTTCGTCTGTTAGTGGTACTGTAAAAAAAACAACCCAACAGGATTATAAATTGTTACAGGTGGTTAAAAGACTGCAATCCTAAACTCACTTACTTGGGTGAGTGAATTCAATGGGATTTACAGAACCATAGAATTGTAGAGTTGGAAGGGACCCTGAGAAAAATCTAGTCCCACTCCCTTGAAATACAGGAATCTCAACTAAATCCTAGTCGATTTATGTATGTAATAGACAGCTGCAGCTCTGTAGACCTCTGATTGTGGGATCAAAATAAGTAATAACTGTAATGGGACCAAATAATATTTTTTTAAACTAACCTACCTTAAGGAGCTGTAAGGACTATTATAGTCCAAAACACATGTTGGTTATTTTAGCTGAAGGTGTTTCACCTCCCCAGGAGGGAGATAATAATAATAATAATAATAATAATTAATAATAATAATTAATAATAATAAATAATAATTAATAATAATAATAATAATAATAATAATAATAATAATAATTTATTATTTATACCCCGCCCATCTGGCTGGGCTTTCCCAGCCACTCTGGGCAGCCTCCAACCAAATATCAAAAACACAATACAGCATCAAACATTAAAAACTTCCCTAAACAGGGCCGCCTTCGGTTGTCTTTTAAAAGTAAAATAGTTGTTTATTGCCTTGACATCTGCTGGGAGGGCGTTCCACAGGGCGGGCGCCACTACCGAGAAGGCCCTTTGCCTGGTTCCCTGTAACCTCACTTCTCACAGGGAGGGAACTGCCAGAAGGCCCTTGGCGCTGAAGACTTTTATGAAGGTGATGGATTCAGGGAGATTTCTTACAAATAGCTGTTGCACCCAGAGCCCAACTTTTAAGACCTAACACTCGGGTTCCAGAAGAACTTACCGTATTTTTTGCTCTATAAGACTCACTCTTTCCCTCCTAAAAAGTAAGGGGAAATGTGTGTGCGTCTTATGGAGCGAATGCAGGCTGCACAGCTATCCCAAAAGCCAGAACAGCAAGAGGGATTGCTGCTTTCACTGCGCAGCGATCCCTCTTGCTGTTCTGGCTTCTGAGATTCAGAATATTTTTTTCTTGTTTTCCTCCTCCAAAAATTAGGTGCGTCTTGTGGTCTGGTGCGTCTTATAGAGCGAAAAATACGGTAACAGGGTGTATTAGTGGGACAACTCTTCTGCAAGGCAGAATCTGCTGCTACCGTGATGCCAAGTCTTGTTGTAGCTGTTATGGGAAGTGTGTGTGTGTAGATTGTAAGTATTTATACAGGAATGTTAATGTTTCATATGAATTCGCAATGGTACAGTGCAGGGCTACCCAATCTGTTGGTCTATGGACCATCAGTGGTCTGTCAGCTTCATTCAGATCACCCATGGTGCGCCTGTTGATTTGTGGTTGTGGCCAGGAGACGGCCCACCCATTATATGAAACTTTCATATTGATTTTTAATTGTATTTTCTTTGTTTCTTTTAGTCCTTAAATCGGATTTAATGGCATTACGACTGGGATTTTATGGAATTCAAACTAATGCAATGTATAATAAATAAAAGAAGCAATAAAAACACGATTATAAACCATTGATTATCCAGCACAACACATTACAACAGGAGAAAAAACTATTAAGTGGTCCGCCAAGACCCTGGGCAATTTGCGAGTGATCCACGGGGAAAAGAGTTTTGGAACCACTGGGATAATGTATTTATGTTTACCTTTTCAAGGTAAACTCACTTGGAGACCTTGGTAAGAAGTGACTAAGTAAATAATAATACAGTACTCCAACCTGAGACTAATTCTAGATGCATAGTGAGTGTTAGTTGTTGCCTTTAAAGGTTCCTTGGTTTAAAATATAGGCTTTTTATTTATTGATGAATTAAGGCATGGGTGGAAAGTTTAATCTCAGGAGGATATGTGATGCAGTCTAAAGTGTTTTGGCTTTCCATTGTTGCTGCTGGCAGAGACCTAGGAAGTCCCCCCTCAAGACTTCTGCAGCTGGCATTAGATGTGACGGGCAAAATTTACTACACTGATTATTGTTTTTGCACAGGTATTTGATATATATTCCAAAATCGCTAGACATCTTTTAAGCCGTTGTATTGTTCCCCTTGCATGTGCAACTTCTCAAGAAACAAGAAACAAAGGATGCCTCTGGACTGTTGCTACCTTATTTTTTGCTCTATAAGACTCACTTTTTCCCTCCTAAAAAGTAAGGGGAAATGTGTGTGCGTCTTATGGAGCAAATACAGGCTGCGCACTATCCCAGAAGCCAGAACAGCAAGAGGGATTGCTGCATTCACTGCGCAGCGATCCCTCTTGCTGTTCTGGCTTCTGAGATTCAGAATATATTTTTTCTTGTTTTCCTCCTCCAAAAACTAGGTGCGTCTTGTGGTCTGGTGTATCTTATAGAGCGAAAAATACGGTATTTTGCAGAAGCGATTCAGTTGCATCCGGGAACTTTAGGTTTATGCTCCAAGCCAAGTCCTCCCTCTCTGTCTTCCTCACCCAGTCACTCCCTTCCACTTGTTGTTGTTTAGTCGTGTCCGACTCTTCGTGATCCCATTCCACCTTCTACCTACCTACCCTAAATATCTCCCTTCTTGTTCCCATGGGAGAAATAGAAGAAGAGAGGGAGGTCTCTCTCCTCACCTGGCCTGGCATGCTGCTATAGAGTTAATCCAAGTGCTAGGAGTGATGGGAACTGTAGTTTTTCCATTAGGCTTTGGGAACTTGCCCCTGAGCAAAAAGCTGGAAGTTGGGCGTTGCTATATGGACTGCAAGAAGATCAAACCTCTCCATTCTGAAGGAAATCAGCCCTGAGTGCTCACTGGAAGGACAGATCCTGAAGCTGAGGCTCCAATACTTTGGTCACCTCATGAGAAGAGAAGACTCCCTGGAAAAGACCCTGATGTTGGAAAAGATTGAGGGCACAAGGAGAAGGGGACGACAGAGGATGAGATGGTTGGACAGTATTCTCGAAGCTACCAGCATGAGTTTGACCAAACTGCGGGAGGCAGTGGAAGACAGGAGTGGCTGGCGTGCTCTGGTCCATGGGGTCACGAAGAGTCGGACACGACTAAACGACTAAACAACAACAACAACAATATGTGTGTTGGGGGGGGGGAACCTGTGGAGAGGTTGGGGGTGTGACAGTGAGTGGGCTTGGTGAATGGTGTTCCCCTCCTCTTCCACGAACCCAGTGTTAAAGAAATGCCCTCTTCCTTTTTAATTGAGACTACCTTTGATTTGGACCCTTAAGTTCTGCTTGTTCCAGACCCAAGTGAGAGGCCAAATGGAAAAAGCCATTGGTATGGATTGTCCCAAAGGCACAATTTATTTAAGATTCATTTCAGGTAAGGATACATAATGTCCTCATTAGAACTTGATAGATAAACCTATCAGTCAGCATTCTCACTTCGCTGCACTCTGACGGTTTTAATGAGGTACTGTTGTGTGCTAAAAGCACCTCTTAATTATGCTATTAGCAGTAATGATGCTCATCAAACATGATGAAGACAGGCCTTTTTTTCCCTTTTTTGTTTTGCAAGACTTTACAGGTTATGCACTTCTGACTTTCAGTTATGTGAACTCGACCTGAGTTATAAAGGGACTGGTGCTTAAAAGTTTTAGTTTTAACTTGAGGCCAAAGCTGCATTACAGCAAATGCATTTAATTGTAGCCTTGTTCTTAAGATGGAGGGCTGATTTAGAAAGAAAGCTATTAGAGCAAATAAGCAGTGGAAGGGATGGGTGCATCCTGTTTCTCTGCTCCAAATTGCCCCTCCTATGAAAGCGTCAAATGTATGTTTGCTCCAAAGACTTCCAAGGCTCAGATTTAAGCATCTCTTCTTCATAGTGCCAAATAAGTCTTTTCTGGTTACTGGTAGTTCTGGCATTGTGTAAACGTGGTGCTTTGATCCTTAGCATAAAAAAAACCTACCTTAGCGACCAGGTTTGATTCCTTCTCCTTTCTTTGCAACTTCCCTGGTGTGTTTTATAACAGACTATATTAGCATTGATGTCCTGATTTTCCATAATCAGCTCAGAACATTCATTTGCTGCTTCCTGTGATCAAGGTGGGATCCTTCAAAGCAATGCGGCTCTAATGATTTTCATTACCGGACAGCTTGTTCCTTGCCATCTTTAGGACCGAATCAAAATTTATAAAGCTGCAGCTCTCTGAGGATGATTGGATTTCCTGATTGCAATATATTACACTCCCTGTAGAGTTGAATTATTTCTTCCATTCTGGACATGCTTTTCTTCTTTAAAAGGGTCCTCCTGGTGGTTCAGTAAGTTACAGCCCAACTTTAGGACCTGTAAAGTAACAACTCAGGAGCTAAGATATGTTGATTTTAATGTACCCATTTTCCTTTTTGCATTGGTTTATTTTTCTAATGCTAATCTAGAATTTTTTATTCCCTTGCAGGTCCCTTTGCTGAGTCACAGTGAACTGCTGAAGTAAGTTGCCTTCCGGAACCTAATGATCATTAGAACTTGATGATGATTGTTTTGTGGAAGAATGGAAGCCTATTTTTGGATTATCTAAGGAAATACTATAGTATCATGAGCAGGATCTGAACTTTGAGCAACAGAAGGAATTAGAGAGAGGATGCAGCAAGGGGGAGAAATAAAAAATACCATGGAAAACAGGGCGGGAAGTCATCAATAGAAAAAATAGGTGTACTGTATGTGTATAACTGGGGGGAAATGAAGTTGGCTTCCTGCAGTCACTGAAGTTTGACCCTATAACTTTGGGGTAGGCAATGTGATTCCCTCCAAATGCTGTTGAACTACAACTCCCATCATCTCTCACCACTGACCATGCTGGTTGAGACTAATGAGAGTTGTAGTGCAGTCCTAAAGCATCTAGAGGGGACCCTGTTTCCCACTCCTGCAATACATTGCTTTGTTTTGGATCATAATAGGGACCATTAGCTTGGTGGACATTTACCCCGCTCTCCCCTCAAGCACCTCCTATGGTAGTAAAGTAAAGGTAAAAGGTAAAGGACCCCTGGATGGTTAAGTCCAGTCAAAGGCGACTATGGGATGTGGTATTCATCTCACTTCAGGCCAAGGGAGCCAGCGTTTGTCCGCAGACAGCTTTCCGGGTCATGTGGCCAGCAGGACTAAACCACTTCTGGCGCAAGGGGACACCGTGACAAGTGCCAGGGTGCACCTTCCCGCCACAGTGGTACCTATTTATCTACTTGCAGTGGTCTGCTTTTGAACTGCTAGGTTGGCAGGAGGTGCTTAGCAGTATCCAGTTGGACTGGTTGCATGCAGAGAAATGGTGGGAGCAATGGCGGAGGAAGGGGGTGCGGTCTGCCCAGGTGTCATCACTGAGGGGGGTGACAAAATGAGTTTTTGGTTTTTTTAAGGGCTTTTTAGGACTGACGTGGTGGCTTAGGCGCCTGCAGGTTCCCGCGCTGCCTGAAATGGCAGTGTGGTACTTGCATCTGCTGACTGCCTCTCCCTCAGCTGCCCTACAGCTGAGGGGGAAGCAGCGGACAGGCTCCAAGTGTCGGAGAGGCTCGCCCCGCCCCCATGGGTGGATCGCCCCGCCCCCAGCTGCAGGACACGCCCCCTGACCAGGCACCCGAGTGGCTAGCTACGCCGCTGAGTGGGAGGAACCAGCTGGGGAACCACCAATGGAAGAAGGCTCAGAGTCCCAGTGTCAGGCTTTGGGGAATTTGATCCCCCCACGGCAGGCTGCCAGGAATAGACAGACAAGGACAGCACTTACCAAGTATTTTATTCAATATTCACAGAGAGAGGCTTAGAAATGTAGCCTCTTGGAGTAATAGTGTTGCTCCGAGTAATTTCTACCCCTCCTTCTCTCCTCAATGATCAACAGCACACCCCCCCCCCCTTTATGGTGGTCAGTTAGGACCATTTGCTCTCCTACTTTTTTAAAAAAAATAAATGTTTTTATTAGGAATTCCAACATAACAATTTTAACAAAAATGGATCATCCACATTATTCCCCCCCATCCCCCCCCCCTCCAAAGAAAAAAGAAAACCCGAGACTTCCCTCAGCTCCTCTCTCTGGTTTCTCGACACATAATTTTATCTGCGTGTTATAAAATTGTAAAAATTCTCAATTCACCTATCTATGTATTACCAATAAAGAGTTTGTGAATGTTTATTCAAAACCTGGCGAGGAGTCCAGTTCATTTTGTTGTTTCTTCAAATACTTCGTAAAAGGTTCCCATTCATCTTTAAAGTCACAGTTATCCTTGTCACGTAGTTTGTGTGTCAATTTTGCCAATTCCGCATAGTCCATCAGTTTTTCTTGCCACAGTGTGGAGCAGCTGTAAGTGATGGCCCAGCTGAAGGCAACGAGGTAATCCCCGCATCTGGAGCCAGGGCAGGCTCCGGCCCCTGACTCAGCCCAGCTGGTGTTTGTTGCAGGGGAACCTGTGCATACTGGGGTTCTTCAGGATCAGGCCCCAGACTTGATTCAGATGATGCCTGAGGCAAAGGATCCGGTGCAGACTGAGACTCCTCTGGTTCCGAGTCCCAGCCCGAGCCCTAGGCCATCACACTACCAATGCCTACAAGCCATCACAGCTATGATTTACCTCCACTGTTGGAGTCAACAATATGTCTGAATACCAGTTGCTGGAAACCACAGGAGAGGAGCAACTCTGGTCCTGCTTGCAGGCTTCCCACAGGAAGTAAAGTGGACCCTCGGCCACCCCATGCTTGAGCCCTGCACCCAACTCAAACCCTGTTATGGTTCTATTATCTTCAACTTTTGTTAATGGACTGTTGAGCTGTTTGACAGTGGAATGGTCTCCCTTGGGAGGTTGTGGACTCTCCTTCTCTGGAGGTTTTTAAGCAGGGGCTGGATGGGCACCTGTCATGGACGCTTTAGCTGAGATTCCTGCAATTCAGGGCGGTTGGACGATCCTTGGGTTCCCTTCCAACTTTGCAATCCTATGATCCTATGATTCTATGACTAGATCAGCCTTTCTCAACCTGTGGGTCCCCAGATGTTGTTGGACTACAACTCCCAACACCCCTAGCTAGCAAGGCCAGAGCTCAGGGATGATGGGCGTTGTAGTCCAACAACATCTGGGGACCTACAGGTTGAGAAAGGCTGGACTAGATGGACCACTGGTCCGATCCAATAGGCCCTTACACTGTTCTTTTGTTCCCAATGTATGAAAGACCTGTTTCCTCTTCCTGCTCAGTTCCTGCCTTGCCAAGTAAATACAGCTGCAACTGCAAGGGTGTCACAACACCCTCGTCTCAAAACTTTCCAGAAGTTCCGCCAAAAAGATTCTCTGTCTGCATATCAAGTACTGATTGAATGCTTAACATTATCCACTTTTTTTCTTTACTGTTCTTTCCCTCTGCTATTGAAAGTGTACAATTAACATATGTAAGGTCAAGCATCACTTATCAAAGTGCTATTGTTTGAGGGGGACTCTTGTCCGTCCTCCCCGCAATCTCCCCCTTTCTTGAGCTCAAAGCAGCATCAAAAAAATGGTGTGCTCTTTGAATTGAAGGCATCAGCCATGTGCGCATTTCAAGGCAATCTCTGGGTAAATGCTCTCAGTGAAATCCTTACACAGTGACCCAGGTGATGAGCATCCTTTCAGAACTGAAATAAGATAAATGAGATCCTCATCTGAAGTAAAAAGCTCACATCGCTATCATGGATGCCTGTCAAAGAAAAAGAAGCAATATATGCCTGTCATGCCCTTATTCTCTTTTCAATTGTTTAGCATAATTACTCCCAACAGTGTTCAAATTGTCATTTCTCAGAATTCGAAAATGAAACGAGCAATTGCACAGTACTTCGAAAAATAAAAGGTAGTCATGTTGATCCAGAAGGGAAAAAAGTCTGAAATCCACAGTTGGACAACGCCTTTATTAAGACCAACCAAAATGTTCCTACTGTGAAAGCACTGCCAGCCATTTTGTGGAAGTGTTGGGTTGTGTAATGCCTAACATTTAGAAGACATCTGAAGGCAGTCCTGTATAGGGAAGTTTTTAATGTTTGATGTCATATTGTGTTTCAATTTTTTGGAAGCTGCCCAGAGTGGCTGGGGTAACCCAGTCAGATGGGAGGCATCGTCATCATCATCATCATCATAAATAGTGAGGCTCTTCTGTGCTGAGAAGGGTATTCACAGAAATGTAAAATGTTCAGCTTAATAATGTGGTAATTAAGGAGAAGTAGAAATTTAATCAGGACTCTAGTCTGGTTGGACAAAAAGTTGGGAAGGGAAGTGGAAATATTGTTATGAGGTAGCTGGGGGTTTTTTTTGTATGCTGTACGAAAAAGCTCATGTTTAATATGATTTTTTCTCCCTCCATTGCATAATGTATTTATGTTCCTTTATCTGTTTATGTTCATGTTAGCTGCAACTTGCTTGGGGACTTTTCAGGCAACAAGTGACTAGTAAGTGTTAAGTTAAGTTACCGCCTAAAGTGTTAAATTAAGTTAAGTTACCGCCTAAAGTAACTGACGTGGACCTGAGTGAAAACTATCTACAGTATCCCCCTGCTGGTTCAGGGTGAGAACTTCAGTACATAACACCCGTCCCCACCAAGATAAGGCGTTAGTTACAATCGTAATGGTTTCCTTATATACAGCACTACACGTAATGGTTCAATTAGGCACAAAAGCATATCGGTTACATTTCCCATACTTAGACCAACAGTGATACATGTCCAACAACATAGTCCTTTAAATAAGTTGGGCGCTTGGAAACTCTGCCAGACCGCCGGGGACTGGTAGCCAAGTCCGGGGGGCCACCCAATTCTTGCTGAGGCTGTGGTGCGACCCTAGGCGGCGTTGAAACCAAATCCCCTGGATCCGCTGTTGTGGGTGAAGCCTCCGCAAGTGGAGTGGTCTGAGTCTGTGGTAAGTCTGGCAGATCCTCTGAAGCGGCTTGGTTCGGCTCCACGCTGGCAGTTTGTGAGGGAGGTGTAGGTGGAGCCTCGCCATCTGTAAGAGCTCTTCTGGAGCCACAAGCGCAGTTGGGGGCACCACGGTAGTGTCCAAGTCCCCAACCCTGCACCTAAGCTGGTCTATGTGCCGGCGCCACAAGCGACCGTCTTCGAGTGCCACCTGGTACGAGCGAGGTCCAGTGACTCCCACTACTGTGGTTGGCACCCAAGGAATGTCCCCCACATAGTTCCGGGCAAAGACCTGGTTTCCTGGAACAAATGACCGTGGCGCATTGGCACAGCCTGGGGGTTCGGTCACGGCAAAGTCCGGGTGCAGCCGGTCGAGCGGTGACCTGAGGCAGCGGCCCATAAGCAGTTCAGCAGGACTCCGCCCTGTGGTCGCATGAGGGGTGATGTGTTGCACAAACAAGTATTCGGCGACCCGCTCGTGCCAGTCTCCCCGGTCCAGGTGCGCCAGTGCCTCTTTTGCCGAGCGCACCATTCTCTCCGCTTGCCCGTTGCTGGATGGATGAAAGGGTGCCGTTAGGGCATGGCGGATGCCCATTCCCAAAAGATACCCCTCAAAAGTGCCTGACGTGAACTGCGGTCCATTGTCGGAGACAAGGACATCAGGACACCCATGTGTCACAAACAGGCCTCGCAGCACCCGGAGGACGGCCTCGGTAGTGGTGGAGGGCATCAGGGCCACCTCCAGCCATTTGGAATAGGCGTCCACCACTACCATAAAGGTCCGGCCGTGAAAGGGGCCAGCCAGATCGATGTGCACCCTCGACCAGGGTGTCTTTGGCGTCTCCCAGGTGTGTCCCTTAGCTGCCGGTGGTGCAGGCCTCGATTCTTGGCACGCTTGACAGGCAGACACCCAGGCAGTGATGGCATCGTCCATGTTAGGCCACCAGACGTAACACCGAGCCAACGCCTTCATTTTGACAATTCCCGGGTGGCCAACGTGCAGAGCCTCCAGGACGCGTTGACGGAGTCTTTGGGGAATCACGACGCGGTCTCCCCACAGCAGACAGCCGCGATGAGCCGAGAGTTCATGTTGTCTGGTTGCGAAGGGCTGGAACTCCGATGCAAAAGGCCCTTGTGGCCACCCCCTCCACACCCAGTTGAGCACACGGCTGATGGTGTGATTCTGGGCAGATGCGGAGGCCACAGTGGCAGCCGATACAGGCGCTGCCGGAAGATCCTCAATCAGGAGGAGCGATGAAGCTGGAGCCGGGTCTTCCACACACGCTGGAAGAGGGCAAAGGCTGAGGGCGTCGGCATGGCCCATTGATTTCCCCGGGCGATGGACGAGCCCCCGGGCGATGGACTAGTGGTAGGCAGCCAGGAAAACAGTCCATCGCAGCATGCGTGGCGAGAGGACAGGTGGAGTTGGACGATCACCGGCGAGGAGGCCCAGGAGCAGCTTGTGGTCAGTGATGAGGTCAAAAGTCCTGCCATAGAGGTATTCATGGAACCTCTTCACTCCAGCCACAAGTGCCAGTGCCTCCTTGTCGAGCTGGCTGTAATTCCGTTCCGTCGGAGATAGCATCCTGGAAAAGTAGGCGAGCGGTGCTTCTCTTCCGTCTGGAAAATGGTGACTAAGGACAGCGCCGATGCCAAAAGGTGAGGCGTCGCAGGCAAGGACCAGCGGCCTGGATTCACTGTACTGTACCAGCACACGGTCCGATGAAAGGAGAGCCTTGACCGCGTTGAAGGCCGCCGTCTCCCGATGACCCCAGGACCAAGGCGTCTTTGTGCTGAGGAGTCGGTGAAGAGGCTCAGCCACCGTGGCTTTGTGGGGCAGGAACATGTTATAAAAGTTCAGCAGCCCCAGGAACGCCTGCAACTCCGTCTTGTTCTTTGGAATGGGGGCCTGCTGGATAGCGCAGATCTTGGATGTGGTCGGGTGAAGGCCGGAGGCGTCGATAAGATAGCCCAGGAACTCTACCTGTGGAACGGCGATCTAGCACTTCTCCCTCTTTACCTTGAGCCCGGCCTCTTGGAACCTGGTCAGCACGGCACGGAGGCGCTCAAACAGCTGCTGGTGTGAGTCTGCGGACACCAAGATGTCATCAAAATATGGTACCACGCCCGGAAACCCTTGCAGGAGACGCTCCATAAGGCTTTGGAAGATGCCAGGAGCCACACTCACCCCGAACTGCAACCGGCGGCAATGGAATGCCCCTCAGTGGGTGACGATCGTCTGGGCTTCAGCAGTGGCATCATCGACGGGCAGTTGTTGATAGGCTTGGGCAAGGTCCAGCTTAGCGAAGACCTTACCCTCACCCAGGGAATGCAGCAGGTGTTGGACAACAGGAACCGGATAAGCGTGCTGCTGAAGTGCCTTGTTGATCGTGCACTTGTAGTCAGTGCAGATTCTCACCGACCCATCTGGCTTGACAGGCGTGACGATGGGGGTTTCCCACTTGGCATGGTCAACCGGCTCCAAAACTCCTTGGGCGATCAGCTTGTCCAGTTGTTCGTCCACCTTAGCCTTGAGAGCAAAGGGAACCCGGCGTGGCTTTAGCTTGATGGGGGCGACTTGTGGATCAAGGCTAAAGGAGATGGGCGTACCTGTATATTGCCCCAAAGTGCCGTCAAAAACCTCGGCAAAGACTTTGACCAGACCCTCAGTCTCTGCGTTAGAGATGCAGTTGATGCCGGTGACTTCCAGGCCGAGGGCATCAAACCAGTCTAGCCCTAGGAGGCTTGGCCGCTGACCGTCGACCACCACCAACCGGAGCAGGCCCGAAAAATCCTTGAAGGCGATCCGGAACCGGCCAACGCCTACTACGGGAATGTTGTTTCCCTGGTAGTCTCTCAGGTGTACGCGGTGAGAGTCGAGTTGCCTTTTGGACACTCTGGGTACCAGTCTTTTGATGGTGCTCCAAGACACGATGGACAGGGCAGACCTGGTGTCGATCTCCATGTCACATGGAGCTCCTTCAATGAGCACCGTGACGTTCAGCTTGCGTCGCGTAGGCGAGTCGGTTTGGCCAATCGTGGTTCCAGACGGGCAGCGGCAGTTGGTGAGAGCGAAACAGCTTTCCTTGGCAGACTGGAGTGAAGACTTGGACTTGCGAGTCGGTGAAGGGGGGTGTCAGACGGAGCCGATTGGCAGACCTTAGTGATGTGGCCCCTTCTGGAACACTTCCGACAGATGGCGTCTCTGAATCGACACTTGGCACGGGAATGGTTGCCTCCGCAGCCGGCACATGCCGGTTGGCCCTTGGACTTCTGTTGGAACTTCCTGCGCTCCCGCTTTGTCTGGTGCACGTCATCGTCTTCACTGGAGGATGCCTCATCACTGCTGGCCTCTTCATGATGCACTGGAACTGGCTTCCTAGCAAGACGCGGGCTGCTGGACTTGCGGATCTCCTGGGCGGAGCGTTCAGCAGCTTCTGAGGCCACAGCCTCCTCAATGGCTTTCTGTAGCGTGAGGTCTGGCTTGGCGAGGAGACGCCGTTGCAGATGGATGTCCATCAGGGCATCGTCTAAGTCTCGGAACTCGCAGTGCATTGCAGCCTGTCTGAGGGCAGTGGTGTAGTTGCTGATTGACTCCCCCTCTGCCTGGTTCTGGTGGTAAAACGCATGGCGGGCAGCAATCTTGGACGGCTTTGGCACGTAGTGGTTGCGGAGCTTCTCTTGGATCGTGTCCCATGGTGTTGCCTGGACTGCTTCAGGCGCAACCAATGCTCAGGCCGTCTCAAACACCTCAGGCCCACAGAGGCTGAGGAATAGGCCCCGCTTCCATTCATTTGATACCAATGTCAGCTCGTTGGCTTGGAGGTAGCAGTCGAACCGAGCGAGGTAGGAGTCCCACGATTCAGAGGCTGGCGCAAACGGCGGTAGAGGCACAAGTGAAGCCATGATTCCGATGCCGGCGTGAAGGGCGATGGATGGAACACAGTGCTCTAGCCAGAACAGTCAGCTCTGAATTGGTTCTGTCCAGTGATTTCGCTCTGTGATTCAGCTCAGTGATTCAGCTCAGTTCAGAGGCTGGCCGCATCTGGCTGTGCTCTGATGTCCATCGATCCCATCCTCGTCGCCAGTGTTATGTTGTGGGTTGACATAGCAGACGACACAGCGATTTCTCCAAAGCAGCTCTTTATTTTGTAAGCTGGAACAGAACTGAACAGCAAACAGCTCAGCCGGCCTGCTTTTATAGGCAGCCGGCTGTCAACATTGTAGCAACAACAACCCAGGGTTTCCCGCCTAAAGTAACTGACGTGGACCTGAGTGAAAACTATCTACAGTATCCCCCTGCTGGCTCAGGGTGAGAACTTCAGTACATGACAGTAAGTTTAACGAATAATAAAAACTATAAGTAAAATGTGAGTCAAGTTGGAATATAACGTAGTTAGCAGCTGGAAAAGTAAGAAAGGTCTAAAAAAAATAGAGGTTCATCACTAGAAAGCAGAAAGTAGCAAGGAGAAAGCTGCCAAGGGACCCAGAAGCTGAACTGAAGGATGCAAATTGATAAATATTAGCTTGATAAGGGGAATGGTTTAGAATAGCTACAGCTGGATGTATTCTCTGTTTAATTTTATAATGAATAACTTCTCAAACTATGAAATTAGTCTGCTCCCCATTTTAAAAATCATTTTATCAAAAGCTGCTGAAATTCTTCCCTTACTAAAACTTTTAAAGAACAGCATAGTTTTCTTTTTTTAAAAAAACTGTGAGGCCTTATAATCCCCAAGTGCCATATTATGCTATCCAGTATAGGGGTTGTGTTGTGCCAGCTAAAATCTGAAAGATTAGATGGTTGTTTAGTGCAGGTGGCCAGAGAAAAAGAAAACATCCACTTGGTGGCAGCGGTGAGAAGAGGGAAAAGGAGGGTTCCCATGACTCCTTTCCCACCTGCAGCCTTGGCTCTCAGTCACAAAACAGTAAGAAGAAAAAAGTTTTGTTATGTGTACGAAGGGGAGGGAGTTGTTGGGTCAATTTAGTCATATCGATTTGTATGCTTCCAGTGTGTGTGTGCGTGTTATGTTGTTGTCTTGTTCCCTCTTTCCCCCAGAATACACTTAGAGCATCATCATTGATTGTTGTTGTTTAGTCGTTTAGTCGTGTCCGATTCTTCGTGACCCCATGGACCAGAGCACGCCAGGCACTCCTGTCTTCCACTGCCTCCCGCAGTTTGGTCAAACTCATGCTGGTAGCTTCGAGAACACTGTCCAACCATCTTGTCCTCTGTCGTCCCCTTCTCCTTGTGCCCTCAATCTTTCCCAACATCAGGGTCTTTTCCAGGGAGTCTTCTCTTCTTATGAGGTGGCCAAAATATTGGAGCCTCAGCTTCAGGATCTGTCCTTCCAGTGAGCACACAGGGCTGATTTCCTTCAGAATGGATGGGTTTGATCTTCATGCAGTTCATGGGACTCTCAAGAGTCTCCTCCAGCACCATAATTCAAAAGCATCAATTCTTCGGCGATCAGCCTTCTTTATGGTCCAGCTCTCATTTCCATACATCACTAGTGGGAAAACCATAGCATCATTGATACATCATCACTACATCACTGGCATGTCACAAAAGGGGAGGGGTACACAAGGGTTGCACAAGTTCAACATCAGGTCACTTGATCAGACACCTTTCCCAATGCCTTTTAAGTACCCATCACCGAAAGAACAATTAAACTCTTGACATCTCCTTGCCCTCAGGACTTGTCTGGAGATGGGCTTTCAGAACACCTGACTTGCTCAACTGCCTCTGTGGATGTCTATTGTTGCCCCACTGGTAACTCCCTGGGTGGGGTGCTATGTATGTGCTCTCATGCTTGGGGAATTACGGTGGGATGCCCTGTTCCTGCTGCCCACGTGACTTCATGCTTCTTGGTTCATGGAGGGAGGTGGAAATTCACCTTTCTTTAAGGGTTAAAATGGCGTTGAAATGAGGAGAGTCAGTTAAAGTTTGGATTTTCTATGAATTTATAAAGTTAGGTATCTTCCCTAAGCTGTCAAGTCGAAAGGATATATTCAGGCATAATCATAATATTTGTGACATTGTAACAACTTTAAAGATGTTCGTCCCCCATGTCATTCCCATAACAACCCCATCTTTGTTGTTGTTGTTTAGTCGTTTAATCGTGTCCGACTCTTCGTGACGCCAGGGACCAGAACACGCCAGGCACTCCTGTCTTCCACTGCCTCCCGCATTTGGTCAAACTCATTTTAGTAGCTTCGAAAACACTGTCCAAACATCTCATCCTCTGTGTTCCCCTTCTCCTTGTGCCCTCCATCTTTCCCAACATCAGGGTCTTTTCCAGGGAGTCTTCTCTTCTCATGAGGTGGCCAAAGTATTGGAGCCTCAGCTTCAGGATCTGTCCTTCTAGTGAGCACTCAGGGCTGATTTCCTTCAGAATGGATAGGTTTGATCTTCTTGCAGTCCATGGGACTCTCAAGAGTCTCCTCCAGCACCATAATTCAAAAGCATCAATTCTTCGGCAATCAGCCTTCTTTATGGTCCAGCTCTCACTTCCATACATCACTACTGGGAAAATGATAGCATTGTCTCACACTAATTGTAACTGACCTGTAGGTAAGACTCTGTGAACTGAAAAAAAGAGACGTTACATGTACCTTTGTTGTCCATGGAAATATTTCGATAGAAACAATTTTTTAAAAAATTGATTTTGTCCGAATTCTTCATCGGTTCCCAAGGAAGACACCGGGGACACAAGGAAATATACATAAAAGCAATGATCCTATACATATGTACAATGATCCTATATACCACTGGGGGAGATCCTTTATTAGACTGGTGGGCAGAGACAGACACAAAGGTGGTCAGGCAACAGGTGTAAATTTTATGTTTGTAAAGTGGTCTAGTTTCTACAAACACTCACACAACTCTTTGTATCCTCCATCCAGGGGAGCCTTTATTCCTATGAAGCTAATTATAATCAGTTGCAAAATTTCCCAACTGCAAAAATATTTTCTCTTATCATTTTAAACTTCCCCATTATCACACAGAAGCAAATTCTATTTCACATCATGAAAAGCGTATTGGCTGAATTAATGGATCAGAGGGAAGGAAAATGAAAGTGGGGGAGATGGGGGGGGAGCCATTCATAACCCCAAACCTTTTGAGCTGTAAATAATTATCACCGTGTGAGTAACTCAGGTTCCTGGCACGCAACCCAAAAAACCGTCACTGCATCCCACCAGAGCAACATTTCCCAAAAGCGGAAGAGAAACTCTTGAGGGAAGGTTTGTTTTGTACCGAAAGAGAAACCTGCCTGAATTCAATGGGAATCTGGGATTCAGAACTTGCTCTTACGTGTTTCTGAAGGCAAATGAATAGAAATAAATCAGAAGATACAATAGAAGCAGTTATATTGCAGAGTTATATTCACTGGAAAGTTTGAATTCAATAAGGCAGACTCCTAACAAGGGAGGATGCTAATGAGTTTGAGACTTTATGTATATGTCAGGCACCCAGTTTTAAATGCTGACAGGATGCAGCCCAAATCCTGAGAGCTGTGGTTTGTTAAGAGTGTTGTTGAGAGACACCCCCGTCCACCCTATTTCTCTCCCGAAGCTAAAATTCCCTGAGTTTTTTTTTGGGGGGGGGGGGTTAGGGTCTCCTAACAGCTCTCAGCACCCTTGGCCAACTATAGCTCCCAGAATTCTTTGGAGAAAATCAAATTACAGGCAATGACTGATTTATGTGTGTCCAATTGACACGGGACTATACGCACGTGACCCAGAAGTGGCCGGAAAAGGGGGTGGGGCGGGGTTGGAACACGTGTGATGACCTGATTTGCAACCCCCACACAAATTGGTGGGTTGATTATAGTATCACAACTCCCATCACCCCTGACCGCCAGTTAGCTAAGGATGATGGGAGTTGTAGTCCAACCACCACACCTCTGAAGAGGATGTAATTTGGTCTCAAGGCGACACACTTTTCCTACAGTGTTTCAGAACAAGTGACTCCATCAAAATCTTGCAAATGTTATTGTGTTCTCAAATCAGATACTACATATGAATTAAGCAGAACTCTCAAGATAGTGGAGTATGTGTAAACACAACTTGTGCGCCTCACCCCTGCAAACTCTGTTATTTACAGGATTTCATTGCCTCCAAATACTCCTGGTATTGATTGTATGCTAGGCACACTGTGTCCCAGGAAGCCAAATTTGAGAAAATATATTATCTTCTGAAGGTTACAATTGCCTTCAGAAGCCCAGTCCCTGGGAAGCGTCAAAATGCTCTGCTGGAGTCAATTTTGATAAATGGCAAATATATGATAAGCTCCTGCAATTTCCTCCTTGTGATCCACGTGGCAGCTTTGTTTTAGGAATGCAGGTGCTCTGAGCTTCCATCTCCCTTAACAATAAATGGAAGCAGCAGGCGAGCCAAAAGGAAAACAAAACACTGTGTTCCCTTAACAACAGCATCATCTCTGACAGATCAGAATCCCAGAGGACTCCTGCATAACTGCTAACCTAAGATATGACATTGCCCAGGAGCTATAGACCTGTAGGGTACAGAGGCAGCCAAAGCGGGGCTCTCTATATGTTGCTGGTAGGAGGGGCTGGTAGGGAGGGGGAGCCCTGGCGCCAGCATCACTGCAGCTTACCTGGAACGGGGGGGGGGGGGAGTCAGCAGGGATACACCTGGTGCCCTCAGGAGCAGCAGTAAGCAAGCTTATGCCATCTTCCAGGTGACAGCCCTTCACAGAGCCTAGGTATGCTTTTTCACTTCTCTAATTAAGGAGCAAGGGACGTGGGTGGCACTGTGGTCTAAACCACAGAGCCTAGGGCTTACCGATCAGAAGGTTGGCGGTTCGAATCCCCGCGACGGGATGAGCTCCCGTTGCTCGGTCCCTGCTCCTGCCAACATAGCAGTTCAAAAACACGGTCAAAGTGCAAGTAGATAAATAGGTACCGCTCTGGTGGGAAGGTAAATGGCGTTTCCGTGCACTGCTCTGGTTCGCCAGAAGCGGCTTAGTCATGCTGGCCACATGACTCGGAAGCTGTACGCTGGCTCCCTCGGCCAATAAAGCGAGATGAGCGCTGCAACCCCAGAGTCGGTCACAACTGGACCTAATGGTCAGCAGTCCCTTTACCTTTACCTGGGTCAAACTATTGGTCAAACTAGGCATTGTCTACAGCGACTGTCACGGGACTGCCAAGGAATGCCTTTGAGTCGGGAGGAGGAGAAGAGTCAGAGCGGGAACAGTCAGAAGGAGACAGAGAGGAAGTGATGGAAGGGGAAGAGGGAGAGAGGCAGGAAGGCTCTCCGTTGCTGAAACAGAGCCCCAACACCGCACAGGAAGCTCAGGAACAGACGGGGAGTCTATACAGTAATATTACTGTATTTTAATATTGTGTTGGAAGCCATCCAGAGTGGCTGGGGAATCCCAGCCAGATGGGCAGGATATAAATTATTATTATTATTATTATTATTATTATTATTGGCTCAAAAAGGTTGAAAACCTCTGCCTTAATGTCAAAATGTGTCAGTGTCACATGTGAGAACCAAACACCGCCCCCCCCCGCAACACGGCCAAACCAAGAATCTTTGCAGTGAAAAGGAAGCGCCTATCCTCTTCCTGGAACTCAATGGCTTAAAAACGATGTATTAATGGGTTGGTTGTGACTGGGAGGCTGTCAGCCGTAATGGTATAATAACCCAGTCTGTCGTGTCTTACAGTGGCCCATGAATGCTTCCAATTTTGCATAATTTGTGCATCAGGTCACTGTGCCATTCAATTCATGTGAACGTAAGGTCTCCACCCATTCCATCAAGCAAGTTATGCAGTGAGAAATGAGTAGAGTACAAGGGCGGATTCAGAGAAGAAGAGAATATTCAGGATGAAACCAATCTAATTAAGGCAGCATTTCAAAATCAGGCTCTTTGTGTGATACAAGTATGTGTTTCGCATCAAAAACTGGGAGTGGGAAGTTGAACTGCCTGAAATTAAAGGCAGTGTGGACCGATGGACTTAGACAAGAAAGCCACACTTGTGAGTTGAAAACATTTGGCTTCACGGCATGTTGAGATGTGCAGCAACTCAAACTACTTAAGGCAAACATTGACTAACTTTCATGGCCCTGACTGCGAACATTACTTTGTCATTTGTAACCATATCTGGGCAGTGCCATGGGTTATTATTTATTATTTTTTAATAAAGTTTTGAATGCCGTGGCTCACAACATAAAAATATAAAAAGAGAAAACAAAATATATAATAAAAGCAAGAAGAAGAACAAAAACAAGCCCCCCTACAAAAACCCCCTACATTTATTATTATCATCATCATTATTATTATTATTATTAGGCCATAAAATGTTTAATCAGCCAAAGGTCTGGGTAAAGAGAAATGTTTTCGCCTGGTGCCTAAAGATATGCAATGAAGGCACCAGGCAAGCCTCCCTGGGGAGAGCATTCCCCAAATGGGGAGCCACTGCAGAAAAGGGCCCGTTCTCGTGTTGCCAGCCTCCGGACCTCTCTTGGAAGAGGCACACACAGAAGGGCCTCAGATGGTGACTTCTGGGTCCAGGTTTGTGGGTCCAGGATTATGTTGCTGTTGTACTGCTCCTTCTGTCTCAGAGTGACCCTTTGAATTGGTGTTTGATACATATGTCACACACTGATTTCTAATCACAAGATCATTGATCCCGGCCCCCTGCAGGAAAGAGCCTTTTGTAGGTACCATCTCACCAGGAGACCTTTTCTGTGTGATACAGGAATTGGGCCTCCAGCGTTGTGACACCTAACGTTTGGAACTCCCTCCTGCTACATATCAGACAGGAATCCTTTCCATTGCCCTTTCTGCACCAGTTGAAGACCTTCCTTATGACTGCACGTTCTCATCCCATAATAATAATAATAATAATAATAATAATTATTATTTATACCCCACCCATCTGGCTGGGCTTCCCCAGCCATTCTGGGCGGCGTCCAACAAAATATTAAAATACAGTAATCCATCAAACATTAAAAGCTTCCCTAAATAGGGCTGCCTTCAGATGTCTTCTAAAAGTCTGGTAGTTGTTGTTCTCTGACATCTGGTGGGAGGGTGTTCCACAGGGCGGGCGCCACTACCGAGAAGGCCCTCTGCCTGGTTCCCTGTAACTTGGCTTCTCGCAGTGAGGGAACCGCCAGAAGGCCCTCAGCCCTGGACCTCAGTGTCCGGGTAGAACGATGGGGGTGGAGACGCTCCTTCAGATATACTGGACCGAGGCCGTATTTGACTAGAAATCATTTTTGTATATGAGTGGCTTATGGATATTTCACCCCTCCCATTGCAAGAATCTCCTGACAATGTTTTCAGAAAGGAGGGGGGCGGAATCTGCTCATCGCTTCTTCTGCTCCAGCCTGACTCTGTTGGAGTCTGAGTGTTATCTGTGTAGAGATAAGATGACTGCTTAAGCGACTGTAACATTCATGCAGTCCAGTAGTCTCCAGTAATCTTTAGTTTCTAGTTTATTTTGG